ATTTAGCCAAATATGGAATGTCGTTCTTTACTTTTTAATATTTTTCAGAGAAGACCTTATCAATTGAGCGTTTTCTTGGGTGAAAAAGTTGATCCAACTATTTGTTACAAGTTGAATTTGAAAAAATAATAACATTAGCCCCACTAAAATCAATTAAATCGATTTAAACAACAAATTTATCAACAAGTTAAGTTTCATAAACTATAAAATTTAAAAGATAATTATATATTAACTGATCCTGCCTGGATGCAAGTTTTATCAGTCAAAATAACTTTTTTTTAAAATTTCAAATTAATTTGTCCATTTTTCTTATATAGATAGGTTAAAATTATCATTGGTTTGGCCAAAAACGAAAGTCCAACCGACCACCTTACACCTATGACAAAACCATTCCATAAAAATTAATTCTATTTGCAACATAATAATATTAATTACAAAAATACCCATTTCCTTTTTCTGAAATAATATTTATTTCCAATTAAATCAATGGATTTTGTATACTATAATAAATAATTTAAATTTTGATTTATGTACTCTCGATTTTGATTCATTTTAATTGCTGTAATTTTGAAACATCCACTTTAGTTTTTATATTTTTAATTTCGATTTGTCTGAGTATTTATACTTCAAAAAAATGACATTTTGGTCAATTCAATTTCATTTTTATCTTATTTTTAATTATAATTCTAACCCCACATTTAACTGGCTGAACTTTTTAAAATATAGTCTTAAATTTGTATTAAAAGATTTTTTGTAGTGTATAAAATTTGTCCTAAAATTTAACAAATAATGATCGAAATAGTCAAATTTTAAAATCAAAACAGACATCTTGAAAATATAGAGACTAAAATAAATAAAATTAAAAGTAGGGAACCAAAATAAATAATTTGAAAACATGAACGCTGAAATAAACAAAAATTAAAAATACATTTGCTTTAATTTTATACCCGCGTTTTTAATAGGCCAGCAGGCAAACCGGCAGTGGTAGGCTAATCGAACGACCTAAATCTTTGAAGTTTGACCACAAACAATCATTTTCCAAAAAGTCAACTCGAAATTTCACGATCCAATGGTTGTCCGACCACCGCTATTTTGGACCTTCGGATCCGTGTTCACATTTATAGTACAATGGACCCGAGTGCAGGCGATTCCGCCCCGAGACCCGGGGCGGAAGCGTAATTAGCAAAAAAGTGAGGGGAGAAAAAAAAAAGGATAAAAAAACGTGTGAATATAAGCAGGCTTTTTGCAAAGCCTATGGCTGCTCTGATCCGATCATTTTTATTATTTATTTAATTATTTAATTTTAATTTTGTTGAGAATATTTTTCGAGCCCACCCCTCTAAGTCAGCCTTATTGCGAAAGGCATGCATTTTCATTTTCCAAATAAATTAATAATTAGTTAATTATTTGGGGCATTATTATAATTATTTTATATTTATGCCCATTTAGGACGGGAAAGTTTTAGGTAAATGTTACTACTTCCGTCAACGCTGTTGCTTGTAAGGAAAGTTTCGTGTTCCAATAGTATGATGACACGTAGCATTACATGGGATTAAAATATATTTGCACAGCTCTTATCAATGATTATGTTTAATTTAATCAAATTCAATCTTAAAATTGTATAACTGGTAAAATGAAGAGAGAGAGAGAGAGAGAGAGAGAGAGAGAGAGAGARAAAAAAAGAATAATTTTTGCTCTTATATTTGACTTAGTGGGGTAATTTTACCCTATTCAATTTCATCACATTTTAAATATTAAATTTGAATAAATCTATTAGTTAAATTCTCAGTCTTTTTGAAGATTCGTGACTTCGCTATATAAGCATTTTTGTAGCGGGACAAAATTATTTGTATGAATTTTGATGTTTTTTAACTTGTTAGTGAGTCTAAACATTTTATTTTTGAATTTGAATATTGTTTTTGTTGTAAACAAAATTGAAAAATGAACCACCTATTTATAGACTGTTTTTGACAATTCAAATAATCATATCTTTAGCATCGTTTCCTTCAAGAGATGACATATATTTTTATTTAAGTTTATGTCATTTAGGAAAAACATAGCCTCTCATGAAAATAGGCTGTGGTTAAAAAAAATTTTTATTCAATAAATTCCAAAGCCCATCTAGGTCTAGACATTTTCATAGTTGAATTATATTTCATTTATCAGTTGGTTCGTGGGTAGTTTTCTAAACTAGTTTTGAGGGAGACATTTAGTTTCCTTTAATTTCAACATTTGTCTATGTTTACTGTTGAATTTGATGACCATTCGAATTAGTGTGAGAGTAAAAATGAAAACTTTTTTAAAAATTAAAATATCAATATCATACTGTAGAGAGATCCTTGCTGATAAGACACACAAACCCATCTAAATTCTTTCTCTCTTCAAGTTCCATGGCCACTTACCTAAGATAAAGTAGGAGCATTTCTCCCTACACTCATATGTTGTAGAATATTGCAGCCCATTCTATGAGATTAGTTAATGTACACATAAGCCAACTCAAATACACACGGTAAACATACACCATCGATCTCTCACGTGATCCTCAAATCGAATGGTAAAGAATTGGGGCAACCCGACCTGACCCATAACGAACAAATGATGGGTTTAGAGATGGTGATGGGATGCACATGGCAGCTCCCAGGTGATGAGTGAAGGGCACATGGGGAGGCTAGACAGCCAGGGGGTTTGCCAATTATTGATGCCCTTCCTATTTTTGGATATAGTTTCCACTTTAGGAACTGTTTTTATTATTATTATTGATTGTACTTTTGGAATCCCCATGGCTATTTTGCTTCTTTCTTTCACTTCTTTTGCTGTTCATCAAACACACCATCTTCTTCCACCTATCAATGGCCTAATTTTTAGGTTCTTTTTTTTCCTAAGTTTGGGCCTTCAACCTCTCACCTTATAAGTATGGAATCAAAAAGTATTTTTGTCTATGTTTTTCTGATACAACAGTTGTTTGTAACTGATTGAGGATTACCCTATTTGCCCAAAATCATATCTTTTAATGGTGATGTGAAACCTATAATCTATTATAGGTTAGAAGTGGAGAATCTTCTGATTATATTATCTTGATTAATATGAAAGAAAAGTAGGTGGGATTAAGTTAAAAGTTGATAATATTGTGTATTGCTTGGAAAATATAGAGATATTTAGTTTTCATTTTGTCTACTTGAAAGTTCTTCTCAAATTAAGAGGAATGATGATCGAAGCACCGAAAGATTAAAGATGACGTGCTTGATTGATGTCGTGGCCAGTTAGGCCCCTGCCTTAGTTTGGTACGGACTCTCTCGAACAAAGGAGAATGAAATGGCCCTTCTCTAACAAAGTAAGGGATTGAGTTGCACAACGATTAACGACACTTCTTTATGATTTGAGTTGTTGGGTTGGGAATGAATTGAGTTGGGAAGTAGGTCTCCTTCTTAGATTTTTTCAATCAAAATAGAACCTTAATCGAATGGCCAAAATTGTTGGAATTGATCTGCTACAGGACTTACATTATATGCAATAATTCTGAAACTGAAACACTATTAGAAAACAAAGAACTTTTGTTTTATTGAAAGCACACAGAAGATATTATTAATTGATGTAATCAAGTACTGCAGAGGAAGTTTGTTGTAATCTCAAACTTTCCATTAGGTAGTGTGCATTTGAATGGAAGATCACTATTTTATCTTTTATCTTTTATTCTTTTAGAAGTAAGGATTCGAACTCCCGATCTTCTTGGTTGGAGATAGGTATCTTAATCGGTTGAACTATACTATATTTTATCCGTTTAATTGTATGAAATATGCAAAAGAAAAAAAAAATGATTTATTTATATATTTTTTAAAAATTTTCCTTTTGAAGTTTTATTATGTTTTTTTGGGAAATTTAGAAATTTCCCAATCGCAGCTGGATTTGGCCTTCTATAAGGAAGGTACAAGTGAATGCTTACCTTCTTAATGGGTTTCTACCCTGTAGCCTGCTTTATGTGGGCCGGATTTTGTTGAGATATGGGCTCCCATGAAATTTCCTTATACTTTCCAATATCAAGTTTAGAAAATTTTAACATAAATTTTTTATTTTTTATTTTAAATTATTAATTGTAAAAATATTTGGCACTTTTATAATAAAATAATTCAGAGGTTACGGTAGGACCATGGATTTATTCTCTAACCCTATCCAAAATGGGAATTTTCTAAATTCTACCCGAATTTGAATCACCAACCACTAAATCTATTAATCTTTTTCAATATTTACCTAGACTCAACATCCTGGAGACTTTTACCGTTCCTAATTCTATGGCACTATAGTTCAAGAGATACTTCAAATGCTAGTTGATTTTGACACACAACATAACACGACAAGTGACCGAAAAAAAAACCAGCTCATACACTATAAGAAATCAAGTTTTTTCCCAAAGAAAAAAACGTAGGGCAAAGTTTTCCAATGCTTTTTTGTTCATCAAGAAATTTGTTGAGAAAGGGCGGAGAACTCGTGCTAACCAAAAATACTTTCCTACACACTCATCATTAAAAACTACTTTTCAATAAAAAAAAAACTACTTTAATTTGTCTACCACACTAAAAAAATACTTACCTACACACTCGTCACTAAAAACTCTTACATACGGTTGAATGTAGTAGTAAGTTAAGAACGATCGTGATAATATCAGCCAATCATAACTTACCTAAACATTTTTCAATATACCGTTTTGAGAAGATCATTTTTGTTGGTTAGATGGAAGATAGATAATGATTTGGTTAATATCAGTTATTGTACTAGTTGAACCATCTCTTGACTTTGATCCTCCACCAAATCCTTCTTGTTGATCAGATTTCAAAGGAAGCCGACATGAATGATGATGATCATCATCATATTTTTCCCTCTCTGCAGCCAAAAACTTGGTTTAAACTCAAACCCCAACCACTCGATCATCGCCAAAAAAAAAGCTCCCTCAATTATAATTAATGGAGCCGTTCAACAAACTCTCCCTTCCCCTCTTCATAATTCACTCTTCCTTCTCCTTCTCCTTTCCCAATTCCCTACTTTCACTTCCCATCCTTCTCCCATGGGCAACGCCACCTCCTTCTCCGGTGCCGGAAAAGTCGTTCTCTCAGACGGTTCCGTTCAGGAGCTCAACGAGCAGTTGACCGCGGCCGAGCTGATGCTCGAACACCCACGACAGGTTGTCGTTGAGATATGCTCGACTATCGCTGGAAAACGACCGACTTCGTTGCCGGCCGATGAGAAGCTTGATTTGAAGAAGGTGTGTTAAATCACCGCTAAACTTTAAAGATTCGTATTTAGATTAAGAATTGTCAATTTATAATATTGTTGGAACTTAGGTGGGTTGGTCAATTTTAATCCTATAATTTTTTAAGTAGTATTGGAATTTGTATATATACTCAATTAACTGAAGTACTCTTTTTGTTTTCTTTTCTAATTTTAATTAGTGACTAACTTAGATATTATTGACAACATGATCAAATTGTCATCTACTTTTATTGAAGCAGATTTGAGAGGTTTGACCTCATGCCCCAATAAATGGTATTAAAAGAAAAACTATGAGCCTCTCCATCATAGTTGATGATACTATTATTTTTGCCGATATTAATTTTTATAATTGGACTCTATCCGTCAAATTAATTAATACATTAATTAATACATGAGAGGAGGATGATAGAGTATGACATATTTAATCATTTATTCATATTCTTAACTAGGTTTATGTAATGCTTCCGATAAGAGGAGGCAAGCCAGCGTCATTGTCGTCAGAGGAAATCCGCCGCATTCTTCTGTGCACCAACTCGACTTTACGGTTGCATTCTCTCTTTCGATCTTCTTCCAAAGTTCTTCCATGGTTTGCGAGAGTATGCACGACAACAACGGCGACGACGATCGGGACGGCCGGAGTGAAGATGAAAAAGGGAGATAATATGGAGACGGGAGAGGAAAATAGGTGGGAAACGGAGATGGCGGCGGAGGGGAGGCCGGAGTATTTGAGCAGGCAATTTTCCGGCAGAGGGTGGAAGCCGAGCTTGGACACGATTAAGGAGAAGAAATTTGAGAAGAAAATTTCACATTGGTTGTTCAAATTTTGAAGGCATTATGAAGCCATTGCATATATTTGTGTATTATTATTAAGAATATGTCCAATATCATGAAAATATTTGGAAAAAATATTAGAGTTAATATTTAAAGTTTTTACTTTTTAGTATTCTAATTATGTTTATTGTTTCTGGAAAAATCAATCCAACGTGACATAAACTTGGGAACATATAATTATAAAAATACATTGGGGTAAAATCATGTTTTAAATTAAGTTTAAAACATCTCTTAAAATTACAATTTTAAGTACACTTTTAGATTTATGTCTAATAGGTATTTTAAAAAGTGTCTAATAAATTTCTAAACGTTTCATTTTGTATCTAATAGGTCGTTAAACTATCTATCAAGTTTTTGAACTTTCAATTTTATGTATAATATATAGGTTGTTGACTTATTTGACATTTTTTTTAATTAAAGAATCTATTTGATATATAATTAAATTTTGTGTCTAAAATAAATCATAAATTTTTACCTTTATTTCTAATAGCTAGGTCTATAGACATTTAAAAGAAATATTGAATAATTAAATAATTATTAAACTCAAAATTGAGATCAGTTAAATATAAAATTTGATACAAAATTCTAAGTTAATAAATTTATTAGATACTTTTAAAGTTTCAAGAAATTACCTATTCAGACGATATAATTTTCGTATTTTTTTTTTTTTTTTGGTATTCATCCTTTTGCTTGCTTTTATGGGTTGGATTAATATTGATTTTTTCATCTCTAGTTAACATGAATTTATATACATATACTTCTGAGAGATATTAATTTGAAAATTTGAAAATTAATTAAATTTCCCTTTCTCTCTCTAACTAATCAAATAGTTACTATTGTGACACCAAGATGTCACCAACTTCACCAACATGATCATAATAACAATATCAACAACCATTTCACTTTCTCTCTCAAGAATGCTACTCACCAACTAATGAAATCATGAGGCTGTTGGGACAAAATTTATTATTAAATTCTCTCTCTACATTTCTTGGGTTTGAAAACTTCTTTTCCAAAGATTTTTAAATATATATATCTATATATCTATATATATCTATATATATATATATCTATATATGTATCTATATATATCTAAATATATATATATATATATATATATTTTTTTTGACTTCTAACTTTCATTTTAGATATTAGATTTTCTATAATTTAATCAGAATTATCTATTAATTTACTTTTATTATTTATTTGATACTTATTATTATTCAAAAAAAAAATTTCTTACCTCATGACTTATATTGTTTATTGTTTTTATTATTTATTGGTACTTATTAGATGTTTTAAGCCATGTATGTCAAGATTGATATTAAATTTAAAATTTGGTAAAATGTGAAAATGGTTTAAATACTATTTTAATTCCTATACTTTTAACTTTATTCACTTTAATCTTGTACTTTTAAAATATTTTAAAAATTTTAATCTCTATTTGCAAATTTTTAACACATATACACATAACAGAAAGCTTTTCGTACAAAGTTTAGTTACATTTTAAGAAATTGATTTGAGGTTATCATCAAGGTATTAAATTTTCGTCGACATGTCGACATTTTTATATATGTTTCTATGAGTTCAACATCAACATTAAAGATAAATCAACATTTTCATAATATTGAAAAAAAATCTACAAAATTTAACTAATATAAACATAATATTAGTATTAATCAATTATAGCTTATTTAGTAATGGTGAAATGTCTATTTGTTAATTTAAATATTTTTTACTATTTTTTATTTGTGTAACATTTTATTGATGTTTTCATCGACATATTCATGTAATTGAGACTTCGACATTTCCATCGATATCGACAATTAAAACCTTGATTATAATATAAAAATGAAATTAAAAAAATAAAGTCAATGGACTAAAATGATCACATTTTGAAAATACAATGACTAAAATTCACGTTTTGAAAGTATAAGGAATTAGCAATCAAATTTACACACTCAATATAATTATTTTGTATTAGAAAATGACTTCTTAACAAAAATTCATATTATTCCATCTTCATTCTCACTTCACATTATTATTCTTTTAGCATCTAAGATTACTCCTCCCTCTATAATAGGTGATTGATCTGATTTAATTTGGTAAATAATGCCTGAAAATGACATGCAAATGGGAATCCAAAACCATTATTATTTCACCCAAATTTTATTGTCCCTTGACTTATAGACAAAAAATTATCTCTTGGTAGAAAATTTTGGTATTAATGAGACCTCCTTTCCAATTTCGTGCCTGATTGTTAAAAAGAAATTAAATAGACTTAAGAATTTATTAGACATAATTTAATTAATATAAACTTTTTAAAATTTAAAATTAATTAGACACAAACTTAAAAGTTGGAACATTATTAAATTGTAATATAAAAAGAAAGGTTTATAAAAGGTAATCACGGTATTAAATTTCCATAGACATTTTATATGTCTATAGATTCAACATCCATATAACGAGTGTAAGTTGACATTTCTATGTATTACAATAAAATAAATTGATAAGATATAGAAAATATCAACAAAATTTTGAAGGTAATTTTTAGTGGTGGAACCCACTAATTAAGCACGCAACCCAAGACAGATAATGGAAATGGAACGAGACAAAATCATGTCATATGAAATGGCTAGGCCAATCCCTTATGGGCACATCCCTTAAATAAAGATGTACACTTTCTAAGAAGAATATTCCACACCTTCGTTATATAAAATAATTATTTCCAAAACTAAAAAAAATTTAAATAATAAAAGACTACTTTATAAATTGATGGGACGTCTTTTTATTTTCTAGATTTTACAAGTTTAAACTGCGTACGTAGTCGTACTTTCCATTATTATTCTACGTAATTCTTGTAGTTAATATCGTTAACTAAATATAAGTGTTATAGCTCATTTAACATAAACCTACAATTAGATAAATGATAGAAAAAGTTGACGGCTAGATTGGATTGTGGCACGGGTGCGTTGAAATAATTTCATATGTTTGTTTCGAAAAAATCAAGATATGCCGTACGTGTCACTTTGTTTTATTTTTCTAATGTTAAACCTTTAACTACATTAGATATGTCAACATGATCTTTGGTTATGCCATGAATGACATTAATTTCGTTTTTTAAGATTGAAGGTTCAAATTCTCGTACTCTCATTAGACATGTAGTCTATAATCTTAAATTACCTAGAGGGTATTTGACTCACAAGTTATTGTGTAACTCAAGGTCTAAAAACTAAGCCTATGATTGGTATATAATATTTAACTAGGCTCAATTTTATTTATTTATGTTAGTTCAACGAATGTAGGATCAAATACAAAACCTTCAACTTTAAATTTTTGAGCTATAAACTTATAAAACTTACCTTTTATAATATATATCTATTAAACATAAAACAAAAGTTTATAATATATATAGACGGTTCTTTTTATTGGTACATGAAATATTTTATGAGAAAAAAAAAATTAGAACCTTCCAATCTCAGGCTTCATATATAAACCTAATTCTTCGTTAGTTTTGTCGCGAATTAATGGGGAAAACTTTTGATTTTTGGTAAGTATTTAAAAATTTTGTTTATTTTTTGGGTGGTGAATGATGGGAAATGGAGCAATATGGCATGGGCATCTCAATATTGATGTTGAAATGTGCATTATTATTGACAGCATGGGCCTTCCTTACATCACTTATCAGCAGAGAAAAGAAAAAAAAAGTTAGAAAATTTTAAAAATTTTAAAAAATATTTAAATTAACAGATAAACATTTTTCTATTTCTAAATAAGTTAAAAATAATTAATATTAATATTATGTATATATGAGTGACATTTTGTTTGATATTTTTTATATTTTGTCGATTTTTTTGTGCTATCATGGAAATGTCAATTTACTCTTCATGTCGATGTCGTCAAACCCATAGAAACATGAATATGTCGATGAAAATGTCGACGTGTCAATGAATATTTAGAACCATGGTTATAATTAATGTCTATCTCATACTAAAAAGTTGTGAGTTTGAATTCTCATTTCCACTCTTAAAATTTCCCTATATCATATTTTCTTTAAATTTGATTATTTATGGTTTAGAGATTTTAATTCCATCCCTACAAATTGAGTAACACTGCGCTATCCAATCCGTGTACACATTTTCAATTTATCTACATTACAATATTATTTATTTTTTTGAATTATGTTAAAAGTGTTTTGCCAAAACTGGATAATTTTAAACTCCAAATTTATCAAAACGGTTAGTCAAACATCAATTCAGTCAAGAATAATTATTTCGTGATAAACAAGGGTGGAACAGTTTAGGGCAAAGGCTCATGTGTACGGAAAAAAAAACCCAGGATGCCAAAAGTCCATCAGATCAGATGATCAAATCTAACCACAAAGGTGGGACCACTCAGCTCTATTGCTACGCGTCATGTTAAAAATGACGTGGAATTTAGCCGTGCTAAAAGTTATTATAAAGATAAAATCATAGAATGAACAAACGGTATTAGATACTCCCATAGTATTGAAAATTTTCCCGACTCTTCCCATCCTTCTTTTACTTACCACTTCAAACTCCATCTGTTGTAGATCCTACATTGAAAAGATAAGCGACCTAATAAAAAATATAAGTGGACTGCTATCTCTCCTGATTAATTGATTTTGAGATGAAACCTCATGAATATTGATATGACTGGTGTATTCGACGATTCCTTATTCAGGTATCTGATTCACCGCTTTGATTTGCACAGTAACGAGTCAATTCTTTTCATTTGGTTGATTGCCTTAGTTGATTTAGTTATAATTTAAGATTAAGTAAAAAAAAAATAAAGGAAAATATATGTGGGTAAAAATGATTTAGGAGACGAGTAGTCACATTAAATTAAAATTAATTAACCGACCAAGTTATAATTTTAACCTAATAAAATAAATGATTTTTTTCTTTTAATCTCTGTTTGGTAATGTTGGTTTCCAGTACTCAACCAAATTTTTTCTCCCATTCACCAAATCAACTTGATCGAAAGAAAATCTCACCCTCCAAAAAGGAAAATAAAATTTTAAAAAAAAAACCTTTCTTTTTCTTGTTTTTTTCCTTCCAATTTGTGCATTATATAAACACTTGGTTTGGCTTTGGCCTTAGCCACTTTCCATAACCATCCAACATTATGGCTTCCGCCGCCGCTCCCTCCGCCTCCGGCCACCTGAAAATTCTGGCACTCATCGTTATTCTCGGAGCATTAATCCGGCACGGCGGCGGGGCTCGCGAGCCGTTTGCTTGCGACCCGAATGACACGGCGGCGCGTGGGTTGCCGTTCTGCAAGGCGAGGCTGCCGATACCGGAGAGGGTAAGGGATTTGATCGGACGCTTGAGATTGGACGAGAAGGTACGGCTGCTGGTGAACAATGCGGCGGCGGTGCCGAGGCTGGGGATCAAAGGTTACGAGTGGTGGTCGGAGGCGCTTCACGGCGTCTCCAATGTGGGCCCCGGAACTAAGTTCGGCGGCGAGTTACCCGGCGCCACCAGTTTTCCTCAGGTCATCACCACCGCCGCTTCTTTCAATTCATCCCTCTGGGAAGCTATTGGACGGGTATTTCTCTCTCTCTCTTGGATTTTTACATGTTGGACTTGAAATTTCACTTTTGGTCGACGATATATTACCTAACCAACTAAACTATGTTTGTTCGGTCGCTATATTAATTTTGAACTTTGAATTTTTGTTTGCTAATATGAATTTTAGACGCTATTTTAAATCTTAAAATATGGAGGGAGAGATGAAGTTTAGAAATTAAATTTATAATTGGCTAAACTTTAGTCTCTAAATTTTTAATGTTATACCTATATATATAATTTTTTTATAAAGATTCTTAAATTTTTAAAGTATTGGATTTCCTTTGTACTTTGCTTTTTAAGAAGTTTCTATAAATTCGAGACACTTTCAATTTTGTATATATTATGTTAAAGAGCAACAATATTGCTTTGAAAATTTTTTTATTTTAAAAGCGGGGGCATATTAGAGAATAATTTTTAAAACTTAATATTTTTATATAATTTTCTTAATTCAAGACCAAAGGGGAGTTTTTATGCTTCATTCCTTCCTTCTTCACTTTACCCCTTATTACTAAGGCCTAAACCTGCCTAAAATCAGCCTGTATATTTAACATTTACCAGGTTATAAAAATATTAAATTAATGAAGTTAGCGATAAAGGTTTATTGGATTTAAAATTGAAGGTTGAAGAATTTATTAAGAAAAAAATTCTTTTAAATACGACGCCATGTTAAATTTTTTTTTTTTTTAAGAAAAAAACCTGAGAGATATGTTAAAAGTTTGCAAGTAAAAGAACTAAATAAATATAAATAAATTACTAGATTTATAATTAAGTCTTTATAATATAACAAAGTGCTTTTTGTAAAGTAAGAAATAAAAAAGATTATAATGAACAAGTGCTTTTACTCAAAAGGGTAAGGATTTATTTCATTGATTATGTGGTGTTAGTATGGTGTTGGGATTAAAATAAACTTTTTGCCCATAGGAAATGACACTTTCAAAGCTACTTTTGGAATGCAAATATGCCTTGTCCAATGATGGAAGAATCAACCTTAATAATTAATTATTGCATAATATAATCCATCTCTCTCTCAACAGCTTTTCTTTCAAGTACTCCAACTTTATACCTTCCTTTAAAGCTAATTCAATCCAATTAATTATTTTCAAATTTGTTTTCTGTATTTATTTAAGTGTATTTATCCATTAAATTTATAATTTAAAATTTAAATTATAGCTTTCTTTACCCTAATTTAAAATTTTCAATTTTATCTCATAGTTTGAGTTTAATTTTAATTTAGTTTATAACTTTTTAGTTAGAGACAAGTGTTCATTTTAGTTTTAAATATTTCAGTTTAGACTTTTTTATTAGTCATGCTTAACAATAATTTGTCCTTCTCATTACCTATCCCTACCAAATTTGGATATGTAGTATATTTTCTATTTGCTTGACAATAAACTAGTGCATTATATTTGACTAATAGTAATTAGAGTTCAAGGTCAAATACTAAAAATAAGAGAATAAAAACCAAATTAGAACTAAGCAAAAAATATAAAGATAAAATTGAAATTAAATTCAAACTATAAACTTTAATTATTTTTAAAATTTCAGCTTAAATTATAAGTTCTTAACTGTCAAAGGTGTGTAAATAGATACTTAAACATCAAAAAGTGTCTAATAGACTCATAAATT